TTTTTTTCTTAAATCTTGACATGCCTTACACATCAAATTTATACACTGTACTGGGAGAGACATTTGGCTTATCTGGTTATTGAAACTCTAATTTTAAAGTTGCAATAACCATCCCAGTCTAGAGAAAGTGCTGCATGGCTACATGTGGTGGTATCTTACAGCTTGTTTTTTAAAGCATTGCATCAGTAAGGCTGGTCCCATTCCAGAATAGGAGTCTCAGAATTTGCCCTTCTGTCAAGACACAGCAGTGTCACTGACCACTCTTTTTTTTTATATTCCACCACAAAACATTATAAATAACATAAAATCCTGAAAAAGCAGAAAAGTACCTGGGGGTTCTGGTTGACAGTGGCTGAGCATGAGCCAGGTGTGGCCCAGGTGGCCAAGAAGGCCAATAGCACCTGGCCTGGGCCAGCAATAATGTGGCCAGCAGGACCAAGGCAGTGATTGTCCCTCTGCACTCTGCACTAGCTAGGCCTCACCTCCAATCCAGTGTCCATTCTTGGGCCCCTCATGACAAGAAAAACATTGAGGGGCTGGAGCATGTCCAGAGAAGGGCAATGCACAGCCTCATCTGAAATATGCAGAGCTGCCATTTGGAATTTGGGGAATATTTTAAGTTTCCTCTATGTTTTACCATGCTGAGTTTCTGTTTTGGAAGAGAGATAAACATGGTAATAAAGACAGTGCTCTGAAGGTGTAAAGGTCACATGGCTGTTCTAACTTGGGGTGACAGAGCAACACAGGCAAAAGCAGCCCATGTGGCATACAAGTGAGACCACACACAGAGATCTGTGTCTCTTTAACCTGCAGCCTAAGAAGGAATAATGCTAAAATGTGAAGAGGAAGAAAGGCAAGTAGAAGGCATATGTGTAAGTGTACTACACATCTGAGGAACCTCCAGATAGAGCTGGATAACTCCTTTCCTAACTTAAAGTGAGAGACCATGTCTTCATTTACACTTTTTGTAACTCCAGACTGGAGTCCCCAACATCAAAGATATCTGATGATGTGTCTTGAAGTCCCTTGACACAAACAGCAATCTAAGTTGTGTTCTGCCAAAAGCAGTATCCTTTCTAGGTGAAATGCAATAATGAGATAGTACAGCTGTGACTAGTATGCCATGTCAACATGCTGCAGATTTTAAGACATCCTTGAATAAGGATAACTTAAACTCTTGAGGAATGTGTTTTTATTAATGTGCAGAAAGGTAGTGGGGGTGAGGTCACTCAGCTGTGGCAGATTTGTATCATAATTTGATTCATGTTCTTATCCTACTTGACAGGCTTTGTGCAGCAGCAACTGTGACATTCAGATCTGTCAGCAGGAGAGATAAACAATCCTTAGCACCTGAAAGGCTTAATGCAAATATATGAAAAAGACACAAGCCCCTTGACATTTAAGAGTGCAGTGACCCAAAAAGGGTGAGATACTATCTACTTTGGAAGGTATACAATAAACTCAACTTTGTAGGTTCTATATAGCAGATTTGTGGCACTAAATAAATGTGAATAAAATAAATACATGCTGCTCTGCTCAAACCGTGAATCTGCTTAAACTGTGGGTCAAGCTTACTTCTGATCACTGGAATTATCACAGTCTCACAATCTTGTGAGAATGGGTCTTGGCTAACACTAAATTCTGTATGTCTCCCTTAACTCTAAGGGCCAGAATTATTTCAAATGCAGTTCCCGAAGAGGTCAAGCACATGGAAAAGATCTACAGCAATGTAAGACAACACTTCATCTGTTATTCCAAGACTTCCATCACCGTAGTCACATTCGCAAAGAATGTGTGCTTTCTGGTAGGCAGAGCAAGAAATTTTCTGAAGTGGTAATATTATTTTAGCCAAAGTCACCTTTTGAATTTAAACTTGTCTTCACAGAAGATATAAATGTTGGAAACCTGATTAATCTCTATTCTCTTCCCTATACAGTAATAGAAAGTAGCTGTGGTAAGACCTCTTTTCTTGCAACCAGTACAAATTCACTCCACAAGAGGGCTTGTGTGTTGTCAAGGTAAGCACTGATGAGAATGGTCCTTAATAAGGAATAAGAGAGAAAATCTGAGACTTGTCAATGGTACTGAGATGCACTGAGTATTGTGTGTCTTTCTTGGTAACAGTAGCCACCGTTTGGGTTTTAATTTCAATTGAGACAACAACAACAAAAACCCATAAAAAACCAAGATGGAGTGATTTAGACTGAAAGATCTAAAAAATAAGCCTTATTTTTAAGAGAAAAGAATCTTTGAAGTGTTTTCCTAGAGTCTGTAAAGGATTTTACCTGTTTTTCAGTTAAATCCATCAAAGAACTGTAAGTCATGAAACCGTAGATCTAAGACAGTAAGTGCCTTGCACAGCTCCAGAGAGAAAAGAGCAGCAAATTTTTACTGTGCCAGCAGTATCTGCACTGTGCTAATAACTAAAAACGTACTCACTGAAGAGTACTCGCTCAGAACTGTGTTTCAGCACAGAGAAGTGCCCCCAAAAGCAATGACACAAGGATTCTTCAAGGTCTCCCAAGTACTTTCTACATTTGTTTACAATAACAAACACAACTTGGTAATTAGCCTTCATTGAAAAGAAATAGTTATTTCAGAAACGTTCAGAAAGTCCTAGCTCTGGTGATGGTACCATTCTCTTTTTCTCTCCACTGACTGATAGTGAAAGGGTTCTATGGTCACTCACAAGTTCACAGTAAAGAATTGGCACTTACAAACCTCTCCTCTTGCAGAGTAGCTGCCAAAAGGGAGCTCTTGAGAAGGGCCCTACAAAAGAAGGCTCTAAAGAATCTAATTTAAGAGCAAAGAGCACTTGCAACATGAAACAATGTAAAATGTCTAGTGATGCCCCAAGTGATGAGTTATTTGAATACTGAAGTGTTTCCTCACATACCAAGCAATCTTCATTGAGAGGTTCTAGATGTCCTGGGCAGCATGTCAGAGACCCCTCTCTGTCAGTAGTTTTTTATAACAAATTCAAGAGGAAAGCAGAGATAGGAATATGTGTTCAGCACCAAGTAACTGAAGCAGCATCAGTATCCTCAAACAGGTAGGAGCATGTCTACTTTGCCAATGTATAGGCACAAAAATAAGCAATGACTGACGATTGCAATCAGTTCCTGTTGCCCATTCTCCGTGTTGCATTTCTCTGCAGCCAACGCCTCTGTGACAGCTGGGGTGCAGCAGATCCTGACAGCATCCAAAAAGCTGCTGAAGAAGCACCTCCCTCTTTGCCAAGTCTAGTGTCTGAAGGTACATTTTGAGGAAAACCTCAGGAAAAAGAGGTCTAGGGAAGTAAGGACCTCTGCACAAACTGCCAGTACATTTCTGCTGAGCTTCCAGTGCCTACAGCAGAGAACCTACAAGAGATTGGCACGGGTATTCCTCTGACCACGTGAATGAAGTGTGGAAGAGCTCTGGCATTGGGAGCATATTCCAAACAGAAACTCACAAAGCTATTTCCCTGCTATGCTCTAAAACAGACAGACAGGGTTCCAAGAAAGCAAACCAAGGGAAAGAAATTATTTCATCTCACCTAGGAGACTGAGCAGAAAAGACTGTGTGTAATGGACATGAGGGGGAACAAAGCAAAACCTCCAGATACAATCAGGCAACGTATTAGGGAAGTCTCAAATGTATTTGCTGTCTGCCTACCTAATAACAATTTAATTCATTGTTCAATTAAAAGTTCCTTGATTGATTGCTTACACTCATCCAATACGGCTTGTTTCGGGGACATGTGTGAATAATTAATGAAGCAGGAGTTGAATACAAAGAATTCTCTGTTTATGAAAATGTATTATCTTCACAAAACCCTAACAACACTTCCTCATTTCTGATTACTTCATGGCAAACAGGTCTCCAGCACCATCAGTTCTTGGAATTTATGGCTTTTAACACCCAAAAGCTGTTTCTCACTGGTTTGGGTTTTTTTAGCTACATACAAATCCAAGCAGACCTCCATAATCCATGTCTCTTTATTTAAAAAATTAACAATGATTTGGACATAAACAATATTAATATTAGAGATTATATAAAGATCTTCAGAGCATAAGGACTGGGGATGAGGCAACCTGGATCTTCTGATAAACTAGGCTCATTCAATCATTCAAATGCATTCAGGAATTAATGAGACTCAATCTTGAAGCACAGAAAAGAACCACAAAAATGGCTGGGAGGCTGGGCAAAGCACCTTGCTAGGATAACAAGCCTGCATAATGAGTTAAGATGTACTACATAATGCACATAGCCTAAAGCTCAAACTTCTTTGTAGATGATGCCCATTCAGATTTAAATAGCTGTAGCATAATTTTAGAAATAGTAAAGTCTTTGCCAAAGATGTTTCCCAAATTAGCATCATCAACAAGTTGTAATGCACTTCTTTTAATCCATATCATGGCAATTCATGTTGCAAATTCTTACTTTTTCGTCTATTGTAAACCTTCTGTACGAAATTCATTAATCTACATTTAAAAATTAAAAAAATACTAAAGACAGTATGATCATGGCACACAACCATCTTGCCAGAAAGCAAAAAATACTGAAAGGTTCTCCAATTTACTGAAAAGAAAAGTAAGTAGAAGTAGCAGCTGAAAGTTTCATTCACTAAATTCACATTAGAAACAAGGGACTGGTTTAAACAACGGTTTGCTTATCACTAGAAAGAAGGGAAGAGTGAATTCTCCATCTTCTGAATTTATCAGGTCTAGACCAGACATTTAATATTTCCCAGAGTCAAACAAATAACAGAAACAAAGAAGTGGAGGACAGCAGAGACAGAGGGCTCCTGAGTGCAGAAGTGCCCTGCTGAGGGAAGGATAATATTTCTAGGCTCCACATCAGAATGACCAAATTCAAATGGTATCTAACAAGAAGTCAGACTAGATAACACAGTGGTTTTATTATGGTCTTTTAGCCTATGAAAGTAACTCTTTCACCCCCATTTTCAGGACAATAGAAATGGCAGAACATATGAAGTCTGAACTACATTCACAGCCTGTATAATTATGTTCTGTCATTATTTTACTGCGAAAACAAAGACCATAAATTAATCCACAGGGTGAAAAACACTGGTTTTAATTAGATAAAAAGTCATTTATAGTGGTGTCAGGAATTTGGATTTTAAAAATTTAAGCTGCAGAACAAGACTCCACCACATTGCATTATATTTTATGACCATAATAGAATAATTCTATTATTGTCAGATGTTTTGTACTGTATTACAGTCTTAGAGCAGTGTTAGAACAATACTAAGCAAATAGCAGGCGCCCCTTTAAAGGGATTCCAAATGTTTTCCTCATCTACACACTTGAAACAAAAATTAAAATTAATTTTATCTCACATTAATTGTATTATCACTAACAAGCAAAATTTGGGTTTTGTAAGAAGGTCCCAACCCCAAAGTTTTTCAAACAGAATGCAAAGAAAACCAGTTTCAACTATTTTTAGCCTGACAATATGTATGTACTGACTGAAGTATAAAACTTGACATTTTTCGCAATCATGAAAGCTAAACATTCAACTGAATTTTTTTTAAGCTATAATTTATATAGCCAAGTAACCTCTTGCTATGTTCAAAGATACTGAGAAAACACAAAGCTGACACTCTAAAGCTGCGTTGGAGAGTTTAAAGGAATAACAGGAAAGTTTTCAGAAGTTTAAGTTATTTAGAAAGATCTACTGTTTGAAAGTATTTTTTCCCTATCAATGGTTGCCATAACATTAGGATTTTTATTACTGATGAAAAAAAATCTATAATGTAAGCTGAAAAATATACAGCTGCAAAACTTCTGTATTTTACATATAGGTATGAGTGTGTATTTTTCAAAATGTGTTTCAAAGTAATTGTTTTGCATAGCCGTGAAGTAGAAAAATAGGGAACTTGAGGACCTAAAGCATTCTTTTGATTTCAACTCCCAGAATTGTCTTTAGTTCCCTTTTTGAATCTGTTGGATCAATTGTCTAGGGTTCAGAGGCAAGGGCATTGATTAAATAGCCAAGATGGACCCAAATTTTTTATGCTAATTCTATTCTCTCTTGTTGGCTATTTCAAAGTGTTTTTCAAATACAGGATGACACACTAATTGCTTAAGCTGAAAACTGCTTCCTTCAGTTCATAATTTTCCATTAGTAACTCTAAAAGAATTGACTTCCTGGTCTTACCATGGCAGCTCTAAGTGATTTTAACCCATGTGGTATCATTAGCAAGCACTGTATTTTCTTCTGGCCAAGAAAGGGTTCCCTACTCTGCTCTCATTCATCAGCCTAAATTAAACAGGTCAAAGCTGGACAAGCTTTTCAAACCCCCTATGACTATTGGAATAACACATTTTCTCCTTCCAGATACATGCCCCATTATTACAAGTGGTTTCTTATTTTTAATCCAATCGCAATGCTCACCTCTAATATTACACTGATCTCTCATGTGGTATCTGCTGCTCAACTTCTCCATTTTTTTGAAACAGGAGAACTGTATTTTAACTTGTGTCTGTTTAACTATCTTGCTGTTAAATGATATTCACAATATTCTATTGCACAAAATTCTTTTATAGTGGAGACTGCAAGAGCACGGCTGAATTCCTAAGTTATGGAGGTCCGACCATCTTGAGAGCTGCCCTGCCATTCCCTCCAGCCCCCAGACCCTCCTGAGCCATCCAGAACAGCCACTCCAAGCAGGCAAGAGCAGCATTGCAGGGGGTGAGTGGCATTACCTGCCCCAGACTTGCAGCCAGGTGAAAGCCAGCCTGTGCCACTAGAGGCTAGATTTAAATGAGCCGCAGTTTCTAAATTTAGCCAAACAATGTTAAAATACTTTTTACTAGAACAGGTTAGGTTATTGCCTTGGATAAAGTTAAAAAAAAAAAAAACAACAAGCCAGTGAACCTGAAGCTGGCTAAAATGCATCATAACCTAAATTTCCAGAGCTTATAATTTAGTGAGTGATTTAAGTCCATTTTAGCTGTAAATGAAAGCATCTACATGAGAGTGGAGGTCCACCTGCAAACTGTGGGCACAACAGATGTGGGTTTGGGGTTGATTAACTTGATCTCTGTGAGGGCTGTCTATGTTCTGTAGTGAAACCTGGTGTGGTGACCTCCTTCCTCTCTTATGGTACAAAATCCGTCTCGTCCTGGAGTTAGCCCTAAGCTGAAAAACTTAACATCCAGCATTTTAAAAAAGCCTGATGTTATCAAGTAGTCAAGTGAATATGCTCCACAATGTTTGTGGAAATGTGACCTTCTAATTAAATATTAAATGTTATTGTAAATCCCATTGGAATAAAGTTATTGCATCTGAAATGTGATTGTGGAGTTTGCAAACCCTAAAGTCAAGTGAGTTTGTGTATCAGGAATATCAACTACTTACAATGAACTAAGATAAAAAAAATTTGTTGCTTGGAACAAAAACGTTGCTATAGTTCAAAAGTTATGCACTCTAATAAATATTCATTGCCAAAAAAAAAAAAGTTTTAAAAAATAATCAGCTATTCAAGGATTATTTGCTTGAATGATTGAATGAATTTACCTTAGTTTTATTCATCCAAGAGTAGGTCTAGAAACAATAATTCAAACTTGCTCAGTTGGTTCTTCTTCCAGCACAACATCTTTACAGTTGCATGACTGACAGGTAATTTTACTGTTACAGTTAAAGCCTCGCAGACCTATGATAAGGATCTCTAGGATCAACGTTTTTACTGCCAGAAAACTGTAATCAACTCTTATTTCACACCATTCTGGATGAAAAATGAGACCAGTAAAGTCTAAAATTTGTATCAAGAGTACAACCCTGCCTTTTGTTAAAATGCTGCATTCCAGGGAGCTCCAATCATATCCAAAAAAAAAATTAAAAAAAAGAAGGAATCATGTTTGCATTTCAAACTAGCATTTACTTTGAAAAAAATTACATTCTCAATTGTATTTAAAATGTTTCAATGTACTTTCAAACTGCATAAGCAGCTTTTCTGTGTCCACAGAAATACTTATTTTGCATCTTTTCACCATTTTAATAATAACTGAAGCCAGAAAAATTTCATACTCATATCAAAAGCAAAACTAGAGCAAGCCAAAAATCATCTAAGCAGTATGTTATATCTCTGATTGCACCGCAGGACTCTCTTGAACATGCCTGTACTCCTTTTATGAACACTCTCCCTGATGTGAGCCGTGACATGCATGCTGAGTTTTGGCAATAATATACAACTTTTTGCCCAGTTCTCCTACTCCCTTCCAGTCTTTCATAAAGGAATAAAGAAAATGCCCTAATTCAGCAAAGTGGCTGAGATTGGGGAACAGATCTCATTTGTGATTTACAGAAAAAATACAAGAGCTGTTAGAGGAAAATGTGTGAGGGTGTTCCCTTTACACAGCAAATTTGGTTCATTCTGCAAAATACTAAAAAGAGGGGAAAATAGATGCTACCTCAGCTTGTAAGAAAGCAAGCTTGATGAGCTCTCTGAATGTTCATCTTCAAAGCATTCTTCCCTTCCTTCATATGTAAACTGGTTATATGGCAAAAACAGAGGTGTAGACTTAGCTGATGGAGACAGCGAGGCCTCTGTCTGTGATGTAGAAGGACCTGGCTGCTGACTTTCATGCATTTTCACATCGCTGTGGTCTGTCACTTTGGATAAGATCCTATCAATGGTTTTGTAGTAAGGCCAGTCAGGTGCCACAGTTTCACTGTCAGTCATGCATTTTAATTTCCTGTAAGAAAAGGCACACAACATTAAAGCTTGTTTTCCTACAAAAAAAGTACTCTTCATACAGATCTATCTCAAAACATTTGTTCTGGTCACATTTAGGAGTCAAACTGAATGCTTTAAATGAGATTGAAATTAAACACTTTTCTTCTTTAACTTCCAGTGAAGCCTTTCAGGTTCTTTTCCTAGGTTTGACCTATTAAAAAAGGTTGCATGTAAACCCCAAATGAAATTCAATACAAATAGAGAACATTACAACTTCTAATGGAAACAGGACTGTGTTCATGGTTGAATAATTTTCTTCCCTTTAAAGAATATCCAACTAACCAACGTGACAGCAGTCCCTGACAACTGGACTAGGCAACACACCACAGCCTTTACTAAACTGAGGGCAGCCCCGTGCTTCCATGCTTTGAAGAATGAATATTTATTTTCTATAATGAATACAAGTGGCTATAAATATAATGCATATCCTTTTTCTAATATTGCCTAAAAGCCCTGAAATGCCTTGGCAAATATCCTTGTAACAACCATGAGATACAGACATCTGTTCATCTGTTACAGAATAAAGATCAGGGTAGGCAAAAGTATAGTTTCATTAATATACAAAAAAAAAAAAAAGGAAGAAAACCCCAAACCTAAAACATTTAATAATGCATTAGAAACAACATGAACAAAAACATTACATTACAGTGGACTATCCACCATGACCCTGTCTTTCACGTGTATCTTACTATGAGATTTATTATTCAATCCTCAGACAAGTTTACTGCTATCCCAGTAGTTACCCAGTGTTATTTTATTTTCTTTTACTAAGAAATGTAAAACTTAGGTATATAGATGTAGTATATATCTCAAAGAAATTCCAGGGACCCAAACTTTCTCTTCATTTGCCTCTCCCAGTTTGGATCTTGTTACTCTAAATTGAAATGCAGGAAGGGAACACAACAGGAAAGGCAAGACCAATGACAAATGCCCCATTTTCATAAACCAGATTTAATTCAAATTAACAAAAAGCTGAACCAAATCTGATTCTCACAGCTAGAGGTTTGCATTAGCAGGAAAAAAAAAAAAAAAAAAGGATGGAAACTATTCCTGGACACCTGGCCCACCCTCTTTTTCTTGACGCCTTTCAGGTTTTTCCTTCTCAGAATCCATCCTGCCCACACCAGTCCTGCAAGTGGTAGAATTAAATAACATGTAAACATGAAAAAAACTGTGCCAAACTTAAAAGTGAGAACTTGAAGTTCTTCCTTTTAAAGCACTGTCAGCCTAGAGTAAGGGGAAATCCACTAGTGAGAAAGGAAGGCAGTAAGATTTGCTTAGATTTTAAAGCCATTTAAGGATTCTTTTTTCCTTGTCCTTGCAAGGTCTGATGAGCTTTTCTAGCTATTTAGAAATGCACATCATAGTCCTGCAAAGCAAAGCCTCACAGCCATCCATACTTCTATGCCCTCTATGCATTCAAAATTTTAATTTCATACATATTTCACAACCTACTGCTGTGATTTCATAGTCAGAGAATATCGAGCACAGTCTACAAATACATGCATATCCATCCAGCACAGACAGAAAATAGCTAAACACAGGCCTGACAACAGCCATCAATTAATATTGATTATTTTTAGTTCAATTGTTGAGGCTATTTGCATGAAAAACGTATCAATTATGCCACTATAAGCTAGTAGCAAGACTACATGCCACATTTGTTTGCCTGTGTTGAAACCCTCAATGTGTTCAAGCTATGGAGTTTAAAACTGAACTTCAATTATGCAATGCACTCACCGTGGTCAGTCACCCCCATGGGTGAGACAGCAAAAGCCAGGGGTGACCACATCTCATCAGCCACTGCCCAGCCCAGCAGCTGCATTCAGATGTTTCATGGGTCATGGTTTGAGCCTTTGTGTCAAAAAGGGCAGGACAAACTTACAGCTGATTGCTGACTGCTCTGGAACAGGCTTGTGTTCAGCCTAATGTCTGCCAGGAGCCCTGAGTCCCCATCAGCAGAGCTGCTGCCCAACCAGGCTGTCGCCTGCCTGTTCTGGCATTTGGCCATCCCACAAGGAGGATTTTGCATTTGTCCTTGGTGAAGTTGATGGGGACCCTGTCAGCCCATTTCTCGAGCCTGTCTAGGTCCGTCTGAGTGGCAGTCCTGCCCTCGTAGGTGCACACTGCAGCCCCCAGCTTGGTATCATCCGCAAAATAGTGGACATGCACGCCACCTTTGCCTTTGGATTGTTGATATTCAACAGGGCATGTCCCAATACAAAACACCTGCACTCCTCCAGTGGGAATGTGCCTCTAGGCAGAATACAAACCATTAACAACCACTCTGTGCCCAGAGATCCAGACAGTTTTCTAGCCAGCACATAGTCCCTCCATCTGCAGTGAAACATCCCATCTGGCTATTCCCAGTCACCACTTTTTCCTTTATGTGACTAGAAATTGCTTCCAAAACTTCTTGCTCAATGATCTTCTGAGAGTTGAAGGGAAGAACTCTTAATTCCTGTTCCTGCCTTTCTGAATATCCAACAGCCTTCTTCCAGACCCTAGAGACCTCCCTCAGTCTTCACAAACTTACAGAGATGACTCCCGACTCAGTCCTTTTCTTGTGCTGCTATTTCTGATATGCAGGCACACCCGCCTGAGACAGCTGGGCAGTGAAGGCTGAAGTAAAGATACCAAGTATCCTCAAGCTCATTACTTGCATCTCCTTTCATTAACTCACCCACCCCTGCAGTGATTCTTGGGGCAACAGTGGTGTAACTACAGTCTGGGGGATGGGAGGTTGAGGGCAGTCCTACAGGGAAGGAGTTGGGGGTGCTGGGCAATGAGAGGCTGGACATGAGCTGTCAGTGTGCTTGTAGCCCACAAAGCCGACCATTATTATGGGCTGCAGCAAAAGCAGCATGGCCAGCAGGTTGAGGGAGGGGATTCTGCCCCTCTGTTCTCCTGAGACCCCACCTCAAGGGCTTCAAAAATACTCAGAGGGCTGGAGCAGCTCTGCCACAGGGACAGGCTGAGACAGTCAGGATTGTTCAGCCTGGAGAAAAGAAGGCTCTAGGAAGACCTTATTGTAGATTCAGACTGGATATAAGGAAGAAATTTTTAGTAAGAGTGGTGAGCCACTGAAACCAATTGCCCCGGGATGGATGCTGCATCCTGGCAGTGTCCAAGGCCAGTTTGGATGGGGCTTTGAGCAATCTGGTTTAGTGAAGGTGTCCCTGCCCATGGGAGGGAGGGGGTTAGAAAGAGATAGTCTTTAAAGGTCCATTCCAACCTGAACCATTCTATGATTCAATGGAGAGTTTCCAGGAGCAGATATTTTGCCTGAGTAAGTTGGTGCCTTTTCATTGTTGTTTGAGCTCAGCTGTGTACCCAGATCCCCTTTTTCTACAGAACTATGACAGTTTTGAAGGAAGAGCTGGTGTTTATTGTCTGCTCACAGAGCTGTAGAGTTGCAGTTACATAAATGCAGGTTTTTCTCCGGCTCTCAATGTATCGAATGGATACTAATTCTACTTCTGACTGCTTACCATAGGGCTGAGCTAAATAAAAGGGATCACTACCAGGATGTAGACAAGAGAAGTGTGTTAGCTTAAAAGCAGCACCAGCAGCAAACATCTACCTGTATGGAGTCTGGCTCAAACACACAGAAAAAAAGGATGAAACAGGGAAAGAGATGAGAAGATAAGGAGAAAGGGAGTGTCAGTCCTTTGGAAGAGAAGTAGAAATGCTGCAGGTGGAGGTAAATGGGGAGACCATTCAGTGCAATAGTGTTGATGGTTTAACTTTCTGGTAAAAACAAACCAAATAGCTAGCTTTGTTCCAATATCAAGTTCCAGGATTTACTGACTTTTAAATATTTTTTTCACACCTGCCAGGAGTCCAGAAAACCTAGTGAGACAGCTGAGAGCCTCTGCCTGCATTGAGGTGCATGCAACCCTGGAAAAACTGGAGTCTAAAGCAGAGATTAATTTACTGCCCTCAGTCATTAGTGTAATTCATCGCAGCAATCTTAGTTGCTTCCAAGAGACAGAGTTGGGGCTTTGTTTGTTTTAATGAAACGTGAGGATGTTAAAAGAAACAGGACCATACGAAGCCTGGAGTGCAATAGTCCAGAAATGAGAGAGCAAGATGAGCCAAACATTAACACTTTGAAATTGGGCACATCACTGCCTGAATGAGCAAGCCAGGCAGGAAACATGAGGTGGGAAACAGAGGTAAGCGAGAAAGTCAGCAAAGCTTGCAAAGTAAATTCACACTGAGTTTATCTAAACCTGTTGCTGTTTCATGAGGTTCTATTAAAATCCAGCTGAGAGCAGAGGCAACTGAGAACTCTCTCCAAAAACTCAGGGATCAAAGTCAGATTTCTGGTGGTCAACTACCCAAAGCATGCCAACCCAGTTAATTTGAAAAGTGATTGCTTGTCTTATTCCAGAGACGTGAATAAATTAATGGACTTTGAGATCCCACTGCCAAAATGCTCCACTGAATAGACTGAGACAACTGTTGATTCATTTGTTCTGCCATTGACCTTTTTTCAGACTTTATTCACTGTGCCTATTAATTCACCTTCTAAAAGAAAACTATCACAGTATTATGTTCTATAGAGGTTTGTTTTTTTTAAATCATCATTATTTAGTCAGCAGAAAGCAAGCAATCTATAACTTGCTTCATTTTTTTTTGACTTTGCTTAAAGCAGTATTACTTTTTTATTATTATTGCAGCATTTGATATTACAACTTGCCTTAAGGAATGGATACAAGATCCATCTCCTGGGGTTTCTAGGAAAATATTTCAAAATAAATAATAAATAGCAACTATTTATGAACCAATCAGTGGTGAGGAAAAGAAGGATGATGAAAGTACAATACTAAGTTGTGCATCTGCCATAAATTATTGAAATTAAAGGGAAAGATAGTAAAATACTCAAATTCAACTTTTTGCAGTAATTTGGCTGCACTCATATTTTATCATTTGCTGTAACAGAGGTCAAATTTCCCAGTTGCATAATGTCATAGAGTATAGCAATGGGTTACACAAGCAAAAATGTTTAATTGCTATCATGTACACATGAAAATAAAAAATTAGACTACTCTTTCATTCAAATCATAAGACTGATTCAAATTTACCAATCATTAACATTAATTGACTGCAATTCAAATCAAAGAGCAACAGCTGCATCCTGTTTTCTAGGCTTTGCGGAGGGTGATGTTTTTGAAAATAATAAATTTGCATTCACACAGTTCTTATTTTTAAACATCAGAAGGAATCAGTCAAAACTGTGGACCACTGTGCAATCTGTACAAACCTTGCTTCCTTTTTATAAGCCAGTGTGTATTGTGTCAGTGGCAATATTTTAACAGCAGTCACAGAGCACTGTGGCACAGTGGGATCAGCACATTAGCAGTGACAGGACAGTGCTTTCTTTTAAGGAATAATTACAGGATCACATGAGCTAATAGCCCCAGTAGGCTGCACAACACAGAGAACTGGGCACATTCTCTAAGGGATGCTAAACCTCAAAAGCTGGCACCCTAATCTCAGGAAAACTTTTGATGACCAGCACATCTGAAAGCTTGACTTTGAATTCCAGGAAGCTTGACTCAGCTCTTCCTTCTTCCAGGATGGATAAATGGGGAGGTTCATGCAGCTCACCACACAGGTATCTTTGAAGTGGAACATTAAAAACCTGGTGGCTGATCTATCCACTGCAGATATTTCAGATTTTACAGCAATCCCTAAAAGCAGAACTTTACTTAAATACACCTGCAAGAAAGAATTTTCCTTCCACCTTTGGTGCTGTGCAGAATTTTCCACCCAGTCAATTTCCAAGGTGGATGAAATGGTCCCTTAATATACTGAGACTCCAGTAAGAATTACTTCAGGTCATGGTTTATTTTTCCCTGATTAGTTTCCTCCAAATGCACTCAGACTACAGTAGTAGTGCAGAGGAACACAGGAACCACTGCCAGATCAGTCCATCATCTCACTCTCTCCTGACAAAGGTCAGTGCTGAATACTTCAGGAATTGTTTTGACAGACAGCTTTTGAGAGCACATTCACCCATAAAAACACATGATTATTTTTCCATCAACAGCCAGTAATATCCTGAAACCTGCTGTTTTTCATAACTCTACCTAACTGGAAGACAAACAACATCTGTTTTTTTATTTAATATATCTAATCTTTAGTAAAAATAGTAATAATACTAAAACAACCTGCTGCTCTCTTGGTGTCAATGATTTTCAGTGGCAATGAGTTCCACATGCTTATTATGCAGTGCCATATGACTTTAACTAGTTTTATATGGCTAGTTTTATATGACTTTAACTAGTTTTACAATTTCTGCCTTGCAATTCTTATGAATAACTTCTTGTATAATGAAAAAAAAAAATCTGCTTTACAGTCTGAAAAACAGTGCATATTTTTATGCCCCTCTAAAACTCCTTTAGCATTCACAAACTTTTCCACCTCTCTTAATAAAGAAAGCTTTCCACATCCCAGCCTAACTGTTCTCTGAACATCTTCTCATTCTCTTGTCACCTTGTTGAAATATAGGGCAGGCAGAAATAAACACAAGAATTCAAGAAGGAGGAAATAATGAGATAAAATAGATTTCTTTTTGGCATTTTAACACCTGAATAATATTTTCATCTCAGATATGGAGGAATGGAATATGACTGCCCTAAAATTGCTTATGTGACAGATGCTCATGCACACTGAGCTACACCTGAAGTAACTTTACCTGGCAGCACAAGATCCAGCATGAGATCCAAACACACTCAGAACCAGGGTGAATACCTGGGGTGGGAGCCCCTTCTGAGCCCCCTGCCACTGTACACACCCATATAGGCTGCTCTTGCTGCAGCAACTGTGATAATTATTGGCCAAGAAACACTCCTTCCATACTTACATATATGTTTGTCTGACTCGGGCACCTCCTACTCATAATGAATGGCTTGCACTAAGCAGAATAAAGAAAATAATATTTACTGAACTGCCTCTTAGGATGCCATGGGATCCTCAAACTGGAGAGCACCATTATAAACATGTTCACTGCTTTCTATTTCAGAACCTTATATGTTTCAGATCATCAATATCTGTTTCAACAGATGTCCCGGGATAAGACACAGGAGTGACAGCACTTTTAAAACTGAACTTGGTTAAAAAGACAAGTAGAAATAGTCAAGTACTGCTTTTTCTTTGTATGGAAAAAAAATACACATATATGTGTTCATCCATATACATATGTGTAGTAATTTGTAGGACAGGGGTTTTATGTTCCTTTATGAAATTGTAACACATAGCTAAATAATATGATCTGAGTAATTATTTTAATGCAGTTTATTTCTGACTGTTAAAGGGAGAGTAGAGGTCACTCCACCTCTGCAGCACTGTTCAGAGTTGCTTAAAGAAGTACAGGATCCTGAAGTGGGGGAAGAAATAAGCTCCTAGGTGCAGAACACCCCCCACCCCCAGTCCTGGTACTGGTGCTTTGTTCTCCCCTGTCACACTCTAGTGTTAGAGTTACACTAACCCAGCATAGTCATTACAAAGTATTGTCCCAAAATAGAGCATTTTCCCACTCTCAGGATCTTCTTCTCCAGTTTGTGCCACAGTGCAGCAATGATGCTCAGAAATACACTGATGTAAAGCATCTTCCTCAAGTGTCCTGCAGGCACCCAAATGCAGGTGAAAACTCGGCTGCCTCACAGCAAAGCCAGCAGTCGGTGGCCACTCACGTCATTTACAGTTTCACCACAACCTTCCCTATCCTCACACACCACCAAAAAGTACCCAGAAAACTAGAAATTGTGAGTAACAGCTTCTGCTTGTCCCTGTTCTCCATACCACCTTACCTTGACAGCAAAGCACACAGGCGTGTGAGCAAACAATAAGAAGATGCATTTTATATTCCAGAGCACAAAATGAAACAGCTCTGTGACAGCACAAGGCAGTTTTTAACTCTCCTAAATTAGCATCTCAATCAATAAGCAGGGAGCTGCCATGCACTGCAAAATAGAAAAGCAGATTGACAACATGCAACAGAAGCATTCTTAGAAGTTCACAGAAATAGAAGGATATTTCTTAAAAGTGCGGTTTCTCACACACACACACAGTACATGTATGCGAGTGATTTTATTTCTTCCCTCCCCCCAGTGCAACTTTAAAGTAAAAACATTAATTAGAAAAAAAATGAGACTCTCTGATTGATGACAACACTGTAAATTTAGAACAAAGGCTGACAGAAATAACCTATTCCACTTGGCAATTACGGCACTTAACTATCATGCAGTGTTGCTGCTACAGACACCTGTAAAATCTCAGTGCCGCGAGATGCAATTCCCAGCAGGGAGGACTGCAGATTTAGCAGACTAAGCAAAAGCCTGGTAGCCAGCAACTCCCGACTCCTAAATCTGCATCCGAGTGTGAATTGCTGGGTGATGCTGGACAAAATTTTATCTTACTTTCAGCTTTTTCATCTCCAGTCTGGGTGAAGAAAACTGTAGGGATTACAGCAGGGTTGGTAAAACATTTTGGAGACGTTAGCATTTGCCACAAAACATCAGGTTTAATATTATGGCAAATGATGTTAAACATTATGCTTGTGGATCATAGAAATGTAGAAGGACATTCAAAGTTAAGGGGTTTACAGGATTTTCCCTAGTTTTCTATTTGATGAGCAGTCTCTGCATTAAATACAGTAAGGGTGCCTTACAGAAAAGCGAGCAGTTTTAACATGGTTGCCTGCTGTAATAACCTTTTTTATTATTAATATGAGCTTTGAGGAGAGATTAAATAAAAGAGTCACATATTTGATTTTCTTGCATTACAAGCACCTAGCTCAAATCACCACTCAGAATTTCCAGTATGAGGCATTTTGTGCTTCACAGAGATAAGAATTAAAAAAAAAAAAAAAGAAGAAAATATTTCTGTTAATTTCTAATTATTTTTCTCCCCGCAAACAACAAATCTCTGCAAACAACAAATCCACAAATGCCTCACATTTTCTGAAGCCAACTTCCCCTCCTGACTGCTTGCCTGTTCTTTATCATCCCCTCATAGACACCTCCGCCCTCCCCCCGACTCCTTTGGAGCAGTATTGACGGTGCACATTGATTCTCTCTGCAGATATAATAGTTCTTTCACTGCTGCTGCTTATAATTATAGCAATGTGTGTCACTCAGTAATAAGACATTCAATTATTCTTGGCCCCGTGAAGTGTAACCCTTCAACTCATGAGACCAAAATCGAGGAGCATCAGCCCCCCCCAAACATTATTCTGTTCTAGTTTCCTTTTTTTTTTTTTTTTTAACTTTGCCTTGCAATTCCGATCCTCAGTGGCCACTTGAAACTGCAGGAGTTTCGCTGCAAGGAATTGGCTGCCAAGCTAGCACAATCAGTCCCCTCAGCAAAGAGCAAAAAAAAAAATAAATCTCTTTTCCCCATTAAATACATTTCCATCCCTCTGCATCATAACAATGCCAGCTAATTTTAAAGAAACAAAGTTGTCCCAGAGTTTGACATGAAATGGGGGGGACAAATTAACAATGACGTAACAGCATTGGCAAGAGAGAATTTTAAAAGCGATATGAACAATCTTCAATCTTTTATCGACAGATTTCCTCTAGGAGACTTCTTTCTGAAAGGCAAAAATCACTGCGCCGTCCCTGCTAAAATCTCTTAAAATAAAAAGAATTAACTGAAGCTTACCTGTACTGGAATGTCATATTTGTAATTTTTATCTTTATTTCCTCTCCGTGGCGAATTTCTCCAGTCATTTCAAAGAGTTTGTTAGCCATTTTCTCATAAACTTTGGCATTCCTTTTAGTTTGTTTCAGCTCATCAAAAAATTCTTCCCAAACCAGCATTAAACCTCTCATTTCTGCATCAGTCCAGTTTCTGGCCCTCCTGTGTTTCTCAGTCTGAGAAGAGACAATGTAACTGGGAATTTCTGCTGCAGCCATTGCTGACTGACCTAAAAGGGTTTTAAAAGAGGACACTTAATATAGATTGAGTTTTTAGTTTAGGTTTTTTGTAGTGCAAGACATGCATATGTGGATAAAGAATTTGAATGACAACAGAACATATGAAACCTTTTTGCAACAGCTTGAAGCTTGAGTGCACAAAATGGGGCCTACATCTGACAGGCAGGAATTTAGTTAAAAGCTTTTAAACAGAGAAACGTCATTTTGATGTCACGTTTCCATAGCAACAGAGCAACTGCATAAGCTACAACAACAAAAACCTTTTAACTGAAAGCCAAAGAATCAGGACAAAGTTGACAGGCCATCAATATTAAAGCTTTTAAACACTTTAGGTTTAACAAAAAAAAGATCTATGCAGCCTTTGAGAAGCTACTTTTAAGTTTCTACTTCTTTTTTAGCTTTCCCTTACCTTTTAGGCAGACAATCTGCTAGCAGGGGGTCATGGTCGCCTGAACGAGCTTTTAAGTTGTGCCTTGACAGACTCTCTAGGAGGTTGCAAGGACTGAGGCCATGTACACAAAAAAAAAAAAAAAAAAAAGCTTTTTTTTTTTTGCAAAGATATTCTGCAAAAAGAATCAGCCAGCTTTATGAAAACTATACATCTCTAAGCTAATAAATGTTTAAGCAGGCAGGCTCATTAAAAAGGAGCCTGCATCTGGGCTTTAGAACATGCAAAAAATAGTATTTAAGTGTTTATATAGAGAGAAATATATACAAAATTTCAATATAAAGACACTTTTTTTTTTCCCCGAGATGTTTTGCTGCTGATAAGCACACACTGCAGTCCTGTCAGTATGAATTTGCCTTTGTAGGTATGTATTACTGTATGTGTATTTTGTATTCCTAGTAATTTAGATGCTATTTATGCAGCCTGTGTTCTGCCTTAGGACTGCAGCAGAAGCATTTCACCTGCTTTATGGGCAACCTAAAAGGATTATTCAACGAGTTAAAAAAAGGCTGTGAGATGCTTAGAACTGTGAATAAATTGCTTTGCTGTAAAACAAGCATTTTGAGCTGGTTTTTATATAGGGCTAAATTGTGCCAGCAGTTATATCAGAGAAGCAGGGCTTATTCATTGTATTAAACACTGCAATACAAGCGGTGGGCCAAATCCTGCCCCACTTACACTCCTGACAATAATCTTCCACAAAAGAGTGAGATGCAGGAACTGCATTAATTCCAGCAGTACGACCAGCTAAACAGAAAGATGTTCATTTCCTACAGTCCCAATAGAACCGTGTTATGTAAAATATAAATAAATAATACACAGACCTTTCTTATTATTATTTTTCTGTTTCAGCAATAACGACCTCACTGCAGGGCATTTCCTGAAGATTAATGACAGGCAGGGGTTAATGGCCTGAGGCTCACCCAGTCAGTCGTTAATCCCCAGGAAATGTTCTGTGCCTCAATCCTTAATGCTTAAGTATCCTATAAATTGTAAGTCTTCTCATAACCACATCCTTGATCTTAACAATAGTTTAAAAATGCACGGCTTGGTTTGCATCCTGGAGATGGCAAAGAGAGCACATAATGTTCCTAAAAGGTACACTAGTGACATTTGTGGGACCATTGCCTTCTTTCTATTTTATTTATTCTACTGTATATTACAAAAGGCACAACAGCATACCATAGAACAAGGTGGGGGTATGGGGGGGCGGGATAGAATTACATCTAGTTTACATAGGAACTTCCACTGATCCAACCCTGAACATCTCTGCCAGAAATATACCTGCTGAGTCACTGCCTTCCTAAGGGAAAAAATAAAAAGGAGAGAAAAAAAGAAAAAATCCCCTAGCTTCCAAATAACTGCTTTTAACTACTAATATGACAGCCTAGCAACTATTACCTTTAAAAATGTGTAAATAGCAGCATATGTTGTGGTGATGATCTTGCATGGTTTGTCTCTT